CTGCGGCTGCATTCAACAACTCTGCAACCAGAGGCTGTACATCGCCTGTCAGAGAAAAAAACAAGATAACCTCAAGGTATGACTTCAGAACATCTTTCAGTATCGCACTTTCTTGGTGACGGAAGTTAAGAAAAAGATCGAGCAGAAACATTGCCGTCATGAAGCTATCGACGCCTCGGTAAACTGTTTAACTTGAAGTATGTAAAAATCAAAACGTAGCAAGAAAAGATTTTCTTTGATCTCTGTCAGAGCCCCATTATTTTCTGCAGAAAAAAATTATTGATTTTTCAGTTCTTATAAAAATCGGTTAATTGCAACCATCATGTCCGGGTCAAATTTGGGGTCAAAGTTAAAAGATGTAACAGGTCCGAACGTGAACGCACAGAACGTATTGACACAAATCAAATGCATTCGGATTGGAGTTAATTCACCTGGGTCAAATTGTTTAGCCGTAAATCCGACAATGTACAGAAAGTATATGCGCAAACGCTAATAGCTACTAGTTTGATTGTACTTACCAAGGAATTTAGTAATAGTAATAAACTTTTCAATTCCAATTACTCCGAATACGAAAAAGATACAGTCAATCATTAAGGAGGGGCACAGTCGGTAAATATTCACCAAAAGAAATAAAGGAAAGTACAGAGACGTTAACTTGGGTAAGCTGGCAAAAAGCAGTCAGGCAAATATTGGACGGATTTATTTGTTAAAAATACTTTCGTATTGCGTTTTGCATCCGGACAAATGGTATATATATATATATATATATATATATATATATGTTTGCAACGCCGGGTATATTTGTTTGGTAAGCTCTTTAAGAAGCAGTCTGTTTCGGGGTGGTAATTATTGGACACGAGTATAAGTCAACTAACAACTACCAGCTACACAAGTCTGACGAGCCGCAAAACCGGTCGAGTGCTCCCAGGGAAATTTCGTCAAAAGATTCATATACCGCTTGATGTAACATAGTAAAGGAATTAGTGCTGAAAATTACGTGTTTAGTATGGGAATCTCGTTTGGAATTGGCACAGACATGTACATCTGGAGCTTAGCGAAACAGTGCTCATAATGAAACCAACCTTCTAGACGACCGGGTTGATTTGTCGGATCCTCGGAATCTGTGTTAGTCGGAGAAAGAGCGCTGCATTCGGGTCCGGATCGAGCAGATATATCTGCCAGATCGGATGAAGCACCAGATGTGACCGCAGCAGCACTTGCGATAGATGGCAGTTCTTCCGTGGAGTCCGTGGGTACAGAACAGCCACTCTCGATGCCTAAATCCGGCGAGAAAATCCATGCGTGGTATTTGATCACAGTCTCTACCAACTGAGAGGGAGGGCGAGGAGAAGATAAAAGGATATTTTGAGGTACACACCGGTCAGAATTCCCGTTCGACAGGATCACAGATGAATAAAACAAACAGGACTAAGAAACATTGAGGGATATTTGATTCAGCATGAAGAACAGTTCCGACGGCGACATTCACTTCAGACTTTACACGATCTACATCGAAAGCCCCGTGATGGGCCGCGATAAGCCGCTTCAATTGTTAAAAAATGTCCACATCGCCAAATGGGTTTCATCACGTCATCTAAAACCCAGATTTCCCTGTGAATATGAGAAGATCTGATTGCATTTCGCGCAACGCTGTCTCCGACTGCTTGCTCAGGTGTTCTCAAACACATGGGGAACAAGGTGAGCCACGCATGGCCACAAGTAGTAGTTCAAAACCCCCTAAGAAGTAGCACCAATTACATGGAATTCTGTATGTCACATACGCACTGAGCGAAAATGCACATTGGGAGCGATCAAATAAGTAGCCAAAGGGCAAAATTAAACCAATCAATCATCGATGTAGTGCATATCTCCTGTATTTCCCTTTGTCGTTTTAAGGATTATATCAATCAGAAGTAGACAACAGGTGTGAATTCCGAGGGTAAAATTCCTTCAGTCTCTAACGATCCGCTAATCACATAGCAGATCGCGAAACAACCACTTTGGTGGTAGGCAATTTCGTTGTCGTTCGACTCAGTATCATGCCTAACCGAGGCCTTTAATATATGGCGCTGGCATGCTCCTGCATGGAACGTATCGATGCACTGGCAGGACTGAATGAAGGGTTCGCAGGGCAGATAAGATACGCTTAAGATAACCTGATAATTATGGTGATTAAGTCCTTTGACATTATTCGGGATGAACAGGACTATGAACAAAACTAGAACAACAAGGTAAGGTGCATTCGATAGAATTTCTCTAAACTTGGTTCATTTACAGGGTAAAATCACTGGTAGCTGATCTTTCCAGATTAAAACAAAAAAATCACGAACCACGCTAGTCGGCGTACACGGAGTGATATTGATCCATTGTTCCGTATGCGAAGTAACTTCGATCCGTTTACTGTCGTCTGTTGACATGTTTCTAATCTAAACGAATAGTCGATACTGGTGAAGACCCGGTACACGTGGTAAACTTCCGCTGAGGCGTATTGAAGCATGATCTGGGTGATAATTATTGATCAGTCAAAAAACGTCTATATATATGTCACAATAATCTCCTTTGCAACACCGGGTAAAGTTGTGTGGACAGCTCTTTCAGAACCAGCCCGTTTATGAATCAATACTATGACTCGATATTTTCTATTTGAGTTAGATGCTACTAACCGCAACAAGCATGACTTAAACGTCTTTAGAGGACATTTTGCAACAATTCGTATATAAATGATTCCGGTGAAATTTCGTCCAGTCGTTCATGTACTATTTACAGCGAAATATATATCCATCTTTTCGAAAGGAGTTGTTACACGTTTGCCATTGACAGTTTCTTTGACAAACGAAAAAACTCCCTGTATGTTTGAACCGGGTCGGGTTATCCAAACAAATAGGAAGCGACTCAGATGAGATCACAGTGTGTAGACGGAACAAGATGTCTCTTGTTTGACAGCAAAAAGTCAGGTGCATTCGTCCAGGCTACGACCAACATGGAATTCTACTGGTCGACAGGTGAGAGCGAATGTATGGAGTGGAAAAACGAAACAATAAGGTATCAACAGACGGAAAAAGACAGGGGATTGGGATTACCATGATTTTGTACTTCGAATCGGTCATCAACAATTCCGCACTGTCCTCGAACGGTTGGACCAGATTGGGCGCGAAAACCAGGGCCAAGTTGTACGCGGTCATTTTGTTCACCGCCTCCCGTGCACTGACTCGGGCCAAATGGGTGGCCAAATAGCGCAGAGTGGCACGGTGTGCACGATATTCCGGATGATCCGGATAGCATTCCATGATGCTCAACAGCCGCTGGATGGACAACAAGCGTTTCTCTCGTTGAGGCTGACGACAGGCACCGAGAAAATCCGTGTACATCACTTTCGGGGCGGGGTAAAGAAAAGAGATCACAGTGAGGATAGACTTTGGTACCAAGGTATAATGGAGTTGAATGAAAGTTGTTTACACCCGGTTGAAGCGAGCAATATATACAAAGCAAAAAGGGTTCTTCGCAAAACGGAACACCCACGCAGTCAGTAGCGTAGGAGTTACGGATGCTTCTAGTGGACACCTAACCAAAGAGTTGCACTCTTTCTACTCGGGAGCTACATTCCTCAAACCGGATGAATATGAAATTAAGTGTTACCACATGGGCGTAAACTCCGAGTGACGTTTGTCAACTATACAATTATTCAGTGCCGTCGAGAAGTACAGCTTTTGGTGAAGGATCGAATATAATATTTACTGCAGCAGTTCGATGGAAGCCTGTCAGTATTCAAGCACCATCGCTTTGTACGAGTTTCGTGAGGTAATCAGACAAGCAATGATCAGGTAAAGCAGTCATAATAGTCACAAAAT